TGTTGCCATAGCTAAGTAAGGAAAACAGGGTCACAGGTTGCAAGGCTACTGCTGCTGGTCTGTCCAAATTTGGGGATGGCTATTGCATCCTAAAATATACTTTAGAAAGGCTTCATCTGGCAATATTTTTTTTAATAATAAAAACATTTCCTGTATTTTTAATGGTTGAAGAGGCACTTAGATTCTTGTGTAGTAGGATTACTGAGTAGCATTTAAAATGAACTAAAGTAATTTCAGGTTTTTATGTATTACATTTAATGAAATTAGGTATTATTAATTGTATGGAACCCTGTTAACAGCTGATTAAAGAAGAAATTGACAGTTGACCTTGTTCAGTACCAGTAATATAAACCTGAGTGCAATCCATGTCATAGTATGAAGCATGAGTTATACTTCCAGGAAATATACCCAGGTGCAACTTGAATTTTGGAAGACTTATCCTAATAAAGTTCTACCATTTACTTTGCATGGTAGCATAGTAACCAAAAATGCATAGCAAAAACTACATCTTTCATACAGTGACCTGTAGGAACTGTCACTGGTGAATATGATCTAAATTAGACATAGACACATCATTTTCAATGCTCTTCTCCATCTAAAATAAGATCTAAATCATCTGCAGTAAAATATTTAGACCTGTAGCAAATCCTGTATGCTTCTCAGAATATAAGGGCATAAAAGTGCTCTGACTTAGAAGGCAAATGAAGTGAATTTTAGAATAGACAAAAGTCCTGAAACAGAAAAATTCAGCAACCACACCTCCAAAAGGTCACTCAGTAGTGAAATGGAAAAAATCTAAATTCCAAGGGCTTGTAGAACAGCACTGAACTAGTGCACACTGGAGCTGGAAACTAGAGGGTGAAAAGCAATGAGAGAAACTTAGGATATCATCCTTCCTCCCCTACAGTAACTGACCCTCTTCACTGGCCCATTGTACATCAGCACTATTGAAAGGTCTGTAGTAGGACATTATTTCATGTACTTAGGGTTTTTAAAAAGCAAGCTGTAGCTGAATGAAAAAACATTTTTTTCAGGGCATTTGCAGGGCTGCATAAATGCATTGGCAACTACTCAGATATTGCATCTATACTCAGCTGTTGAGAAAAATTTATTTAGCAAAGCCATTAAAGCCTGATTAAAATTTGATGGGATGATAGGATAAATGTGGTAAGTCCACTGAGGTCTGAATTGCTGCCAGTATTGATTAACACCCTTAACACCCCAGTGGGAATCCTATCAAAAGCATATTTCGAATCTAAGCCATGGGAATCAGAATAAAGCCCTGGGTAACAACCACCATATCATTCAGATGAGTGTTTTATGTCCCTATATGACAAGCGAATGAAACGAGGTAATGGAATGTTGTCAAAGGATTGGTTTGACTCACAGATGTATGTGGGAATTTACAAATGATGAAAATATGAGGCCAGATTCGTACCTGATATAATTTCATCAACTTAGTTGAATTTTCAAAGAGTTAAATATGGCCCATAGTCTCTGTCCTGATCAGCTTAAATCAGACAAATAATTTGATGTATTGGAAGATAACAGTTTATAGATTGCAAGGGAATACAATTGGCATGGAAACTGATGCATAAGTGATTACAGAGAGACTTGAGAGAGAGAAGACTGTTTTGCCGATAGGAAAATTGTAGTTGTTCCAACTGCAAGGCTGGCAATGAAACGGTATAAAACCAAGCATGAGAAGGGACAGAGGAGAAGAGATGCAGAAGAGGATTCAGAAATATACAGAGGGAGAAGGAGGACAGAATAAAATTGCAACTGGTATGTTTGCAAGTCTGTCATTTCTTCAAAGGTGGAGATAAGACACTTGAACTTTCTGTGCCAAGGCAGAAGCCCAAAGAAATTTGAAAGGAGGGAGAGAATGGCAAAAGCGTGAGATTGTTTTTAACACAGGCATTTCTGCTATACTGGTAAGATAAATACTGAGATTTGGAAGGAGCAGAAAAAGGTTATGTTTTATGAAAAATCAGTCAAGCATGGTCTAGATTTGAAAGAGCACAAATTAAAAAAGGAAGGAATGAATGCTTGTGGTCCAAAGGGGCAAAAGGTTAAGGGAGGTGTTGCAGATGATTCTGAAGTTTATTGAGAGAATAGAGCTGTTAACAGTGATAAGGAGGACATAAAATCTAGAGGTTTGAGTGGCTGGTCTTGTTTGGTACTTGAGAGGGAGGTGGGAGCGGGGCAGGGCTTGGTTGGCTGTTTTGCAAAAGTGAGTCATAGGTGCTTTGTTCCAAATCCTAATTCTATAGTTAGCTAAAAAATGTTATCCATACAGGGTAAGTGTGAAGAGTATTAACTGTTTCCAACTGGCTTAATAAATTTTGAGTCAACATTTAGAATTATTAAATAAAAAGCAAAACTCAATTCCCATGTGGCTTCATTACATGAAACAGGAGGTAGAGTTCGTGTCCTTCCTTTATTGGAAGGGGCTTAAAGTATTTAAGAATCTTCTCTTTTGTCTCTCTTTGTTTAATTGCCAGAAAGTTTTTATTTAAAATATCTGTCACTGTCATGTTTTGCACTCTGAGAGGTTCCCCTTATTCTTGTGGTAAGGGCCTGTGATGGGGAATGTCATAGTCCCATAACAGGGGATGGCCTTTTGTAAAATGTCTGGTTAACACACTTGTGTCTTGACCCTCAGCTGAGTGTCGTCTGCGGAACTAACTGCTTACAGGTGACTTTGATGAAGACAACAAAGAAAAGGGGTTGCTTATAGGTGTGACATGATTGTTTGGAGAGATTTACCTCCGCTTTTGCATGGGGAATTTAGAGATAAAAAGTCTCCAGAGGGTTAATGCTAGAGGAACTGTGAAAACATTCAAGGGGAAGAGTTGCTATGAATTAATCAGAAATAGCTGGTTTCAAAGAAGTGTTATTAAATGTGCTTTGTTTGGAGAAATCTGTGTGGCTTTTGGCCACTGACGGAAGCGTGGCTCCTTAAATCCGTGTGTTGCTGGGAAGTGTGATGAAGCTGTGAGGTGTTCTAGCTGACAAGGTATGTTGGTACCTGGATTTTTGCATTCTGATATGTTGGCTTAAAACAGCAACTTGGAAACCTAACCATGTAGCAACTCTGCAAATCATCCTTTCACCATTTTCTTTCCACTTTTTGTCTTGTGCTGTAACCTGATACAGCAGTACTGATCAGTAGTTAGTGAATGTTGCCTGTAATGCAGGTTTTTCATATACTGCTGCACTTGGACTCTTTTTCCAATTGATTTTATGAAAGAAATTGAAAGAGTTTCAAGACACTCTCTACAAGTTGTCCAAATTGCAGAATCCACATTGTCTCTGCTTTTTCTACTAAGTTTGTCTGTCTTTCTGTTTGTACCCAATAGAGCTTAATTGAATAATAGTGACTTTAGGAACTAGTTCCTCCAACTTCTTTATAGGCAAACAACTTTTTTTTCAATTTAGCAGCCCGTTATGCATGCTGAATGACTTACCATTTAAGAATGCATAATTTCTTGATTCAAGTAGAATTATATATTAAAGGCAGGTCTTGGTCTAGTATTGCCTCCTTTCAGAAGATAGATTAATAACCTGAGAAGGAAGTAACACTAAACTTCTCCATGTCTGGGGTTTTGTGGTTGGTTGGTTTGTGGATTTTTTGGTAACCTGAATTACATCTGAGTACTAATTCCCTACTTCTTTAAATGTTTATATCATGACTAGCTAGATATAAACCTCAAATAATTGAATCGTGATGGAAATGCTGAAATACTTTGCTGATCAGAGATAAACATATCCATACAGTTCAGCTTTGCTGAAACTGATTAATTAACTGATTTTACTGTAGACTTCTCCCCTACAAAAATCATCTTTCTTAAATGTATGAGCTAAGCAATAGAAATGTCCTGAATGCTGATCATAACACTGCTACTTGTCTGTAGCCCAATGCTGAAGGTGTCGAAAGATAAAATGAAAAGTTAACTTGCTTGCAGGGAAGAGTTGTTTTTGTTTGGCTGTTCCTGCTAACATAAAACCTGCCTCACTGAATAATCCATGAGAAGCTAAATGTTTGCTAGCTGAGGTCACTAAAAATACTGCTGTAAGCAGTCTGCTGTAAATGGTAGATAGGGCAGACCTAAACCAGGCAAAGAGCCCATAATCAGATTTCTGTGCAGATACTCACTTGGTCTCTACTGCTGCATAATTCAGGAACCTTCTGATGTAGGAGATACAGAAACATTAACTTTAGTGTTGCAGAAGGGAAACCGAGGCCCACTAAGACTGACCAGATGGACAAGCGTGGTTAACAACATAACTCTTATTCATGTGTTCAACTCCAACAGATTTCAGCAGTTAAGCAGCTTAATTCATTCACAGGTCTGAGCTTAATGGGCTTAGTCAGCCAGGAAGACTTTGGAAAAGCTACATGACCCCTGAATTTCAGCCCGAATCTCCTTTTTAATCTGGTATTCAGAGATTACATAGTGCTAGGTGCCGAACAGACATGAGGTAAAGCCTCAAACTTTTTCTAGGTTTGTTTTGGTTTGTTGTTGGTTTTTTTTTAAACAAACAACTTCCCAAAAAAAGCAAAAGTGAGGCAATAGCAGTACAAATGCAGACAATCAAGGCTGAGGCAATAGAAAGAGAGGGTTTTGTTTCCCGAGGCCATGGAGTAAGAGATGAAGAAAGGATTTTTCTGTGCATTATCATTCTTGTATTAAAAAATACTGTTTAGGGACAGTGTTCTTAGTAACTGAGGATAAAAGACATTAAATCTTGTCAGTAGGAAGACTGTGGATTGTGTGAAAAGGAGGATAAACCGCACAATGAGAGATGAGATAGCTTGCACTGCTGACCAAGATAAATACTTGAAAAAAACAAGCTTGCAGCAGGCAAGTTAGCGGGAGGCGTTACGAGTGTATTTTAAATATGAGCTATTACAAAATTAATAATTGTACTACTATCACTAGTACAAAATTAATGACAAGTAGCTGTGTTCTTTGAACTTGCATCTTTATTTACAGAAGCATGATGGCCACTTCACAGTCATCCAGCTGGTTGGCATGTTGCGGGGGATTGCATCTGGCATGAAGTACCTCTCGGACATGGGCTATGTACACCGTGATCTGGCAGCCCGTAATATCTTGGTCAACAGTAACCTCATGTGTAAAGTCTCTGATTTTGGTTTGTCACGAGTGTTAGAGGACGATCCTGAAGCTGCTTACACAACAAGCGTAAGTTTGTCTTATCTAATTTGAACAGTTGATTACCTTGTGCCTCTTTTATTCCAGTTTCAGACTTGTCTGTGCCGTAGGAATAGTAGTTTGAATTGGCTTTGTTCCGTTCTCAGTCCGTGTGGTTTAATAGCCCTGCCAATGTGTTTAAGGGAAGAAGCTTTGATTTTTCGACTGAGTAAGGGATGTATAATAACCTTTGGGGAAAGCGTGGGGTGGGGGTTAAGCAAACATGCAAGTATAAGTGGGAGACCTTTTCCATTCTTGTTTGGGTTTTGTATTTTGGTTTTTGTTGGTTTGTGGGTTGTTGGTTTTTTTTTCCCCACATCGTTTCACCTTCTGCTAACTTTCATTCATTTACAAAAGTATGTTTTCAAGAGGATGGGGGAGGAGAGAATCTCACCCATTCCACTGTTGGAAGCATGGTGTCAAGCCTTGTATTCATAAATTAAAATTTTCATTTTATTTCACTTAAGCTTACCTAACAGGATATGTAGGACCTTTGTCTCAAGGTTTAAGTCTCATTTCACTAATACTTAAATCCCTTATGTGATGCAAATAAATGTTATAGTGGAAAATGGGTTTGGGGTGGTTGGTTTTGGTTTGGAATTTTTTTTTTGTGGTGTTGGGAAGGGGAGGTTCCACTGAAGTGAAAAATTCTTGAACATGGAGAAGCTTGTTCAAATTCAACTTAGAGAAAAAAGTAAATTGTACCTGCAGTATGAAGAAAGTAGGAGTAAGAGTGTGTTGATGCTAATAAAATTACGAGTTCAGATACAGCACTCTTTCACCATACCAAAATGTTCAATTTAATTCCTGTTATGATTATTACCACAACACTTAGAATCTTAGCTAATTATAAGCAGATTTCAAGTAACTTTCATACCTATCACTGAAACTAAAATTATTTCAGATCCAGAGTGCATTCTCATTAGTACTCTCACCAAATACACAGAATTTGTATGTTCCTATGATACGGCACAGTAACAGAATTCTAATAAAGGTAATAAATTAGCATTAAATAATTTATTTCAACCTATTGCAACCTTTTTATTATTTCACTTTAAAAAGTGATGTATGACCAAAATAAGGAACTCATGTAATTTAACTGTATTGTAGTAAGTACTCTGGGGTATATACTGAATTCAATATAGTTGTTGTAATGGTATTACAGATCTTTATATATATATAATTTAAATATTTTTTTTTAGTTTCAGCCTGAAATAGACATGTTCTGATATATTCATTGTGAATTCCACTTAGAACAAGGCCTGCACAGAACTGCAAGCTGACTAGAGCAAAACAAGTCACTTGGCAAGGTTTTCTATCAGTATTAATATGCAAGCTGGGGAAAAAAAAAATATCATTTTTTTTCCTTTATAGGGGAGATTTCCCTCATTTAGTTCTCAAAACCTCTTTTGCTTCACACTGCTTCTTAGCATGAGGCTTGAAAGGAAAAATCAACATTACTGCAGCTTAACAAGTTATTGTATGTTGGGTGAGCCTTGCTAATTGTCCGTGTGAGCGTGCTCAGCTGGCAGCAAATGGCCCCAGTGACAGGCAAGTTAACTTACATTGCTCAGCACTGATCATGGGCTAATCAGCTCAGCTGGTGGAAGGCACAGGAAATTGCCAAGCAGTCTCTCCTGGTTAGGTTCAGGAAGAAAGACTAAATGATAATTTGAGGCTTTCAGCTATTATTTATCCCTTAAGTTTCTAATGAATACCAATACAGAACAATCAGTTTTTCAGAATAGTTAGTGCCTGCCTTTTACATCCTAGCTAGAGTTGCTTTTAATCAGGAAATGCTATGTTTAAAAAAAAAAAGAAATATTTCATGGCAATAAATCTATGTTGAAGGGACTTTCTTGAAAGGTAGGACAGGCTGTGAGGAAATGCTCACTATTGTCCTATTGGTTAACTTGAGAGTCTGTGGGGCAGCTGTTGTAGGTGGAACACCTTAGAGCCATTGCTTTAGTCCTCTGAGATTGCAACCACATGCTGTACCAGAAGCAGGTATCTATAGCATGTCCATCAGAATACTGAAAACAAAGAGGGGACATTGCAGAGGCTGATGGCCAGAGGCAGGACCCTGTGTCAGCCAGACATTTAAGGAGAATCTGCTTCAACCATGAACTTCCCAAAGAAGATCAAAAAGCTTTGAAACTCAGGTAGAGAATGCTGTGTTTCATTATCATATGAACTAGAAAGTTTGTCAATAGGAAGATTTCAAAGCAACAGAGTCAGGCGTAATGGTAATTAAAAGCATTTAAATCACTTGTTACTTTAACCCCAGCCCCCTCTGTTCTTGCAAGTGGGTCTTCACATGCAGACTTTCAGTCACTGTGGCTGAGTCTGCCCAATTCTATTCTGTCACCTCTGGTCCTTGGGAACTGTCTTTCGCTCATCCCTGAGGGTAGACTGACTGCTCCAGTCCCTCTTCCATGTTGCAGTCATCCTGTATGATCTGCTGATAGCCAAGTTTTCTGTGGGATGCTCTTGCCTGCCATATGCTCCATCCTCTGGGTCTTGCTCATCTTGAGCAGGTCCAGTAGATGTTCACTGTAGGGAGTCCCATAGTTCTGTCACTTTTTTTAAAGGAACACAGCACAATTATGGCCAAAAGGCAGGGGAAAGAAAGAAATTTTTGTCACAGTGGCTGTGGAGGACTGAGTGAAAACTCATCCTTTAAGCAATCTTCCATGGTAATAGAAAAGAATAGAACCCCACACTGGATCTCATGTCTTGTCACAGCTTTCACTGACCATCATTACATCATTGACCTGTCTCCTTATCATGAACATCTTCCCAACAGCAGGCCATGTGTATTACTGGAGGTTTTTATAGCATCTATTTAGTTCCGTACTGTGCTTTTGCCATATGAAGGTTAAACCCTCAGTGCTTTCACAAAGGTTCTGTGCTTTTAGTAATTCATGTTTCCTCTCCACAGGGATTTTTCTTGATAACAGCCCAGCACCTGTAGTACAAGAAATCCATAGAGTGGGTCTGCATATTGAATAGTAGTATTTTTAGGCTCACATCTCCTAGTACACCACTGTCTGTCAGTGCTCAGAGGAAACGGTGATTATTTTTTATCCTCCTTTTTGTCTTAGTCCTGGTGTCAGAAATAGAATACTACAATTGGATGTTTTCTTTGGAAACAAGAACTATAAAACAACCAGCAGCCAAAAATTAGAATTTTATATCCACACATCTGTGATGCTCTGGTCAATACTGTGTGAATGTATTCCCAGACATAAAAAATGTAAATTGATGCAAATGACAAATCAAATTTTATAAAGCTGTCGTGCTCTGTGGCAAAACGGGTTGCATCCTCACAAAAATAAGCTGCAAAGCCCTCTTATTTTATGAATTTACCACATCTGAGCAGGCACAGCCTTGAGTCAGATGATCATCATCTTTTTGCTTTGTCTTCCTGTTGTCATCCAATATATGTGTCTTCCTCTTTACTTACTGGTTTAGAATAGATCTTCTGTTCTTTCTATTGGTATATCCACTGCCATGCAGGGCAAAAATCAGGAATCAAACTTGAGGAAAAGCAATAACACCAACAGGGAAAATCTGGAAAGGAAACCATCTAGAAAATGGCTACATTCTGTGCTGACGCCGAAACGCTGCTTAGGAGACTGTATTCAACTAAGTAGTGATGGGAAAACTGACAGATGCCCCGAAGTAACACAGTTAAAGGTTGTTACATTTCCCAAGAATTTTGAACTGGCACTGCTGGTTGGAGAGCTGTTGAATGCTTTAAACAGTACATGAAAAGACTGAAATCTCAGAAAGTAGCTTTCTGACTTCGGTGAAGGCTTTGGGGTTTTTTGTCCTCCAGCCTACTGAGACAAAGAATGTAAATATGGTTTTGATAAGAGAGTTGGTAGGAAGTAAGAGATTGGCCTTTGTTTGCTATTGGGAATCCCAAAACTCACAGCAAGACATAATTTTAGAATAGGAAGGAGGAATTAAGAGCAGGGAACATCTGACTGGCAATCTTTGAGTTTCAGATTAATGAAGAAAAGATAAGGTAAATTTGGGGATAACTGAATAGCATGGGTTTTTTCCATGGAGACAAATTTTTCATTTTTAGTAGTGGTTTCCAAGGCAACAGTAGCTCATGAAAAGACATTTCTAATATAAAAAAGCATTTTTGTCAATACAGAGGACATCTAGGATCTTGCTTCCCTGCTTTTAGATAGACTATGTTATAAGATGTAAATTCATTTAGTTTAAAGCATAGTCAGGGTTCATCTGTATTTCAAAAAGAACCCTGAGTCTCCAGGAAAACTTTTTACATGTAGCAAAATGTGTACATATATATGTATGTATATATACACTCAGAACAGGATCTGTGGCACTACTGCAAAAAGGACTAAACTTGTATTTCTGTTAAAGGTGGTACCTTAATATTCTGCATTGAATCTGATTTTTATTGAGACAAAAAAGCTGCTACTAACTGAATTATATGTTACATAAATAAACATATTATGAACTTTTTTCTCTTATCAGCTGAATTTCTGAATTCAGTCTCAATATATAAAATATTTTCTTACTTCCAGAATACTGGTTAGAGAATTGATTTATTGCTTTACATCTAGTGAATCATTTGATGACCTTCACGGATCTGACTCTTCTCAAGCCAGTTGGATAAAATACTCCATCCATGGAGATTTTGAACTTATTAGATTCGTTAGAGGAGTAAAGCAGATTGATGCCAGTAATCTATATAAATGTTGGAAGCAGAAAAACTTTGGAAGGATTGGGATGAGGACTCAATGCTATTTACATAATTTCCATATGTGAAAACATTTTTCCATTTTCTCTTACTTGTACACAAATATTGGTGGGGGATCGTCATTTAACTTGCTAAAAAAAAGTGAAACAAAGACACAAATTATTTCCTAGTTAATTCAAGTTGTCAGACAATAGTTTCTGAATGACCTGAGTGCTATGACAAGCATATTTTCTGGACATTTATGAATCCA